TACATCTGTTGCCTCATGGTTGCAAGACGGCTGGTCTGTCTCCTGCCATTGCATCAACATTTGAAGGAGGAAGAAGGGGCTGGGTCTGAGCCACTGACTCTGCCAATAAAAGGACAGCAGAAGCTCTCCCAGATTTGTGTTTATGTCTCATTGGCCAGACCTATCTTCCCTGACCACTAATGGCTATAGAGGAGAGTAGGAAAGTGAGTATCTCATTTTCTCAATTTCTATGTCAGGGTGACAAAAGGAGAAAGGGATCAGAAATGTGTGTGTGTGTGTGTGTGTGTGTGCGTGTGTGTGCACACACATATCCAGCAGTGTTAGGCATAGAGTTTATCACCACTTTCCCCAAGAACATGAAACTGGATCCACTGATGCTATCAGCTAATGTTGAAATTGACAGGCAAACAACCCATTTCCTATTTATACAACTGCAACTGGTGACTGAGAGAAGCCAGCAGCGTGGCTGTAAGTTCTGAAACATGCTCTTATCACAGAATTTCCCAGAACTTTGTTTTCTCAGATCCCCGCTCTCCTCCGGGCCACGCGTGACTCTATCTGAGCCAACAGCAGTCCACGGGGCACTGCCCAAGGGGTCACGGGGTGTCTAAAAGGGTTCGACGGAAAGGACAGACTTCTGGGTAGTCACCCAGAGGAGATGAAGTCAGCACCTTCCTGTGAAAGTCGATCACACAAATTGGGTCAGTCTTGTCACTCCCAACTGAAGCACAGGCATTAAGTCAGGGGGAAAGGGGCACAAATCATTGCTCCAAAAATGTCACTCTCTGCAAGTCTGGCAGCTGGAACCGACCACAGGAACTGGGAATGGCTACTGAAGCAGCCTGCTGCAACTCTCAGACTCTCAGGTCGTGCCCACCGCTCCCCAACACCTTACTAGTGCCGAGAAAATTTCTCCAAGCATTATAAAAATAGGGAACGTTTCTCCTTTTTGTGAAGCCTCTAACCTTCTCTGTGTTCCTCAGAGGGCACACTTTCACTTGTACTGAAGGTGGTGCCTCTCCAGTCCACAGATTTTTAAAAAATAGAAAATAAAGCTCTCCCTATTCCCCTCCACAGATCTCTTTTGCTAACCCCATTATTCCCAGTAGCCAAGATAGGCAAACAACTTGTCTCTGTGAAATGAAGAATGGATGGAGAGGAGGTGGTGCACAGTATAATGTGCACAGTGGGATACTATTCAGCCTTCAGAAAGAAGCATGGAAATGTGCCACTTGCCACAATGTGGTCGACCCTGGAGGACATTGTGCTAAGTGAAGCAGGCCAGACACCCCCAGAAAGAAAAGTAGTGCAGGATCTCTCTTATACGTGAAATCTAAAAAATTAAAAGTGAACACACAGAAGTACAGAATAAAACAGTGGTTACCGGGAGTGGCGGAGGTGAGGAACCGGGAGATGCAGGTCAAAGGATACAGAGTGGCAGACACGTAGGATGAACACGTCTAGAGACCTGATGTGCACCATGCGGACTATACTCAACAACATCGTACTTGGGATTTGTGCTAGATTTTAGGTGTTCTTGTCACATGCAAAAAAGATAATGGTATGCAATGAATATGTTCATTTGCTGGACTATTGTGACCATTTTACTATCTATAGGTGTATAAAACAAATATCAAATATTTAAGGCGTACCTTAAATAAATGCAATAAACATTTTATTAAAAAAAGAAGGAACAGTTTCCCCTTGGTGAAACAGGGGAGCTGGGGCCCTTTTGTTTTATTTACTAGGAGTCTAAATCCCAGGTGAGCCAACTGAGAAAACTCTGTCTGTATTTGAGAGCTCTTTATTGGAAAGAAATAGACTTTTCCCTAAAGAGCCTGTTCTACAAACTGAGAGGTCAGAATGGCCTGTCCCAGCCCTGCTGGTGCAGATGGACAGCAATGTAGACTCAGAAATGGTGGGAAGTGTCCTCATCAGACGACAAAAACTTAGAACTTCAGGGACCCATTGTAGGATGCAGGACAGAGGGCTCCTCCTTTCCCACTGCCTTCCAGTAAGCACAGATTCCAAAGAATGGAAGTCGGTGTTCCCAAGTGTGAACGTTTGGGTCGTTCACATGCACAAAATTTAGAGACATTTGACAGAACTTCAGCATCTTTCTATGCAAGGCTTAATGCATAGTTAGAACGATCTGATTGGTTGAGGTGTTCTTTTTCTTTTAAGACAGGTACAGTTAGCATTCCACACCGAAGAAGATGTGACAGTCATGGGGTGTCGGGCGCCTTCTGGTCTCAGTTAGGTACAGGACAGTAAAGGAGGCAATTACTCTATAGCAAAGATCAGTGATTGGAAGGAGGGAGTCTGGTCTCGGTCTCTCCTAGTCATTTATAGAAGAAGAACAATGAGGAAGAGGGTGTATAACCTAAGAAGTGGAGGTTGCAAACATGCTACCTGACTCAGTCTCCAGGGCTGAGCCTCCCTGTTGGCATAATAAATTTAGAGCGTTTTGAAATTTTATTTTCTTTGACACCACCTTCCAGCATGTTACCTTATCAGTTGTTTATTATCTTTGCTGTTGAATGGGGTGATCATTCCAAGGGCCAGAAGCTTGGGGCCCAGGCACGATGAAAGTGCCCCGAGGACAAGGACCTTTGTTTTGTTCCCTGATATATACTGAGCACCAGGAATAGCGAATGGATGAAATAAATTATAAGGCTTTTAAAGAGCTGAAATATTGAAACACTGAGCACACAGTAGGTGCTGAATAAATCCTCATGTCTCCCTCCCATGTCCAGGGCTGCTTGTTACTGTAGCTAAACAACTTGCTGATCCTCAAACAACTAGCTGGTGGCAGAGCCAGGCGCAGGACCCAGGCCTCTGGTGTCCCAACTAACCAACTCAGAGGAGGGGCACTTGGAAGGGTCTCTAAGCTATGTGAGGCCTCAGACAAGTTATTTTTGAGAAAGTCTCAGCTATATGAACAAAATCATTTAAAAAATACATTACAGAATTCACAGGCCCATGTGAGATATAATGATCTTTTTTTAAAATGAAGATTTAGAGTAAAGGGGTAGGCAAGGGTACTTGTGTTTTTGTTATAGGCCAATTGGTGCATTCGAAGACTCTCCCTGGTGCTGTCACCAGCTCTGTGAACAAATCTCAGTGACACCTCTGTTTTTATAACCCTCTCCCTGTCATGCCTTAGCTCTCCAGGCCAGGAGGGCTGGACCACCAGAACCCTGGAACTCTTTCTTAAGTTCTTTTATTTATTTTATTTCAATAGATTTAGAGGGTACAAGTGGTTTTTTGGTACATGGATGAGTGGTACAGTGGTGAGGTCAGGGCTTTTAGTGCACCCATCGCCTGAATGGCATGCGTCGTGCCCAATGGGTAAGTTTCGATTTCCTCACCCCCTTCCCGCCCTCCCCACTTCTGAGTCCCCACCGCCTGATACGCTGCTCTGTGTGACCACGTGTAACTGTCACTTAGCCCCCAATTGTGACTACGGAGGTGTTTGTTGTTCCTTTCCTGAGATACTGTGTTGCCCCCAAAATAAGACCTACCCATAAAATAAGCCTTAGCATGATTTCTAAGCATTTACGCAATAGAAGCCCTACCCCGAAAATAAGACCTAATGATGGGCGTGGCTACGCAGCGCATCTGCACAACCCATGCATTTCATCGCGGAGCGGTAAAGAAGACGAGCAGCCCTTCTCATCCACCCCATGAGAGCTCTATTGCCCGACATGAGAGATTGGGGCCAATGGTTCTAAAGGAAATAGAGTTGCAAGAAATTCAAGATGGAATTCGGAGTTTGGAGAGTTATGATGATGTTCCAGAAGAAGACAACTTAACTATATTTGAATAAATGTAGATTGTTGTACCGTACTTAAAAAAAATAACACATCCCCTGAAAATAAGCCCGAGGGTGAATTATTGAGGAAAAATAAATATAAGACCCTGTCTTATTTTTGGGGAAACATGAAGGTTCACTCAGGATAATGGTCTCCAGCTCCATCCAAGTTGCCGCAAAAGACATTATGTCATTTCATTCCTTATTTCCTTCAGTCGCTCCCCAGGAGGCTCCGTGCCCACCTCCCGGCATAGTGTCCAAGGGCTCTGTCTTCAGGGGTCCCCACCCTGGATGTGGGTGGGAAGCAGGTTTTCCCGTGTGTGTCAGCCCAACTCCTGGAGAGTTTGGCCGGGAGCTCTGGGTCCTGGGGGCTCGGTAGGAAAGACGGCGGCCGTGACAGCTCAACCCTGCCGCCGTCCCCGTGGGTGGCAGGCACAGGCGGCGGCAGCAATGTGGCCAGGTCTTTACTGCCACCACCCCAGCCTCTCCCCCTGAAAAGCCCTCCTGCAACTCCTAAGTCAACTCAGGCTTCAGAATGTGGCTGCAGTGACATTCTCCCTCCACCCTGCCCCAGCTTTTGCAGTCTGCTCCGTTCTGCAACCTTTAGCATTTTGTTTGTGCCTTTCAATCTGGCTGCACTGTTGTTGGCGCTCATCTGTCTCCACAGCTAAATTGGAAGCTTCCAGAAGGTGCTTTTCTCTTGGTGGTGTGTGTTTCTCCCAGTGCCTATTAGAGGCCCTCACAGAGGGTAGGCACCTAATGGCTGTTTGGGGCTGCTCAAGGCCACACGCCCCGGGGGCGGCTGGCAGGGTCAGAAGTGGCCCCAGGTTGCTTTAGCTCTTTCTCCTGTCCCGGCCCCTCCCCCCACCCCCACCCCCAGCTGGCCGTCCTTGTGGCCTCTCAACAGCACATCACAAGGGGGGCTTGGTCAGAAGGCCTGGGTGGCCTCAGGCCGCCACACCACTAAGGGGACGCTCCGGTGTCCGGTCACGGTGGCCTTTGCTCCAGCAAACTTCAGTAAATGTGTAACCCGGCCCTGCACTGGCTCGTTCTGTTCAGCAGTGAAACCCGTGCATCGATCAGCGTGACGTCCTGGAAGGGGTCCCAGGGCGAGAGTGGCTTCTGGCGTCCGTCCCCCTGGCCAGCCTCGGTCTGGCCAAGTGATGCAAGACCCTCCTCCAGCTGTGCGCAGAGCGGCCTGGGAACCGCTCCATCTCCACCCCTTGCATATAAATAGGGCCTCGGTGGCCCGGCCGGGGAAGCCGCTGCCCTTGTTCTGGGACTGAAGTGGGAGGTAAGCAGGAGCCCCTTCCCCACCCTGCGTCTTTCAGACGCAGCTGAGCTGTGCGGGCTGGGGGGAGGAGGCCGGGAGCCCTGGGGGGTGGTGTGGAAACGCTGCGGGAAGTGCTGGCTACACCACATTTGGGAGCAAGGAGCGAGGGGGGTGGCGGTGACCGTGCACCGTAAGAGACGTGTCGACTGAGGCTGCTTCTCCCCCCATCAGACCAGACTTCTGGAGGTGGCCTGGCCTCCCCCTCGGACCTCACTCTGAGTCTCCCCAGAGGAACTGCTCCTCCTTAGCAGTGGAGCAAGGTGCTCAGGTCCTCCTGCTTCCTCTGAGCAGCCCTGGGGTCCTTGGGGATGGAGGGGACGGGCAGAGAAGCAGGGTCACAGTGGCCAAGAGTCCACCAGGTGGGGCAGGCAGGGTGGGTCCTGCTTGGTCAGCCCCCTGCTGGGCCACCACAAGGTCAACTGCACCTCCCCGAGACAGACTTCCCAGGTCTGCCTATTTGCTCATCTGTAAAATGGGCCTGATAACAGTGCCTGGGCTTCCTCTCTTGTGGGCTGCAGCATAACTTAAGAGAACTAATATGCCATGAATGTGTTTCTAACTTTAAGATAAGCTGAAAGGTGGATTCTTGTTTTTTTCAAGAGGCAGTATAGCTTGGTACTTAAGCATGTGGACAACAGAGTCGGGGGTGCAGGGGGGTCTCGGGTTGAGTCTTAGTTCTGTCTCTTACTAGCTGTTTGATCTGAGGCAAGTGACTGGACCTCTCTGGTCCTCTGCAAAACAGCGTCAACTAATTCATTTGACAACTACGTATCCAGGACCTGCTACATGCCAGGCCCTGTCCTGGGAATGTGGGCTGTATCAGTGCACGAGACAGCAGAGGCCCTCTTCTCGTGGGGCTTCCATTCACACGGGAGGGGACAGACAAGACACGGAGCACACTAAATACGTAACTAAATCACACAGGACGCAGCAAGGTGATACAAGCCCAGCAGGATAGGAGAGTTAAGCGTGGCCTGCGTGGCGGGGCAAGTGGCAGGGTGAAACGTGGCATGGAAGGGTCGGCGGGGAAGGTGAGGGCTGCTGTGAAGATCGGATGGGTCTATGTAGGAAAGTGCTCAGAGCAGTGCCCTGCTAGTGGCAGCATCACAGAAGCGTGAGCTGTCACCCTTGCCCTGGGCCCTCGGGAGCCAGGAGGAGGGAGATAGAGCAGGGAGGCTGAGGAAGAGGGAGGGCGAAGGGGTGCCGGAGCGGGGAGCGCAGGGGGAGGGTTTCGGCCCCTGCTGCCCGCACACCTAGAACCAGCCTGGGGAGCAGCAGCGGGTCACGGCTGGGAACAAAGATGTCTGTGGCAAAATGGCCCCTGAAATTGCATCTGCTCAGACGGTGCCCGTGCAGGAGCAGGAACTCGGGAGGGGGCTGCGTTTCCCAGCGTCATCCAAACCTGAGCCCTGTGGGGGCGTGTTAGGCGGAGCTCGTCCTGTAGTCAGTTTCCCCCGGCGTCCCTGCTGATATGGCTTGGTCTGACTGTCTGGATGGAACATGAACTGGCAGCTTGGGCTTGTCTGCACGGGAGGCCTGCAAGGAGCAGGGAGACGGTCCGTTCCCTTGTTCCTGGTCACGTGGCTTTGCATGAGGACAGCAGATGGAGTCAAACGCGAGGGGAGGGAGGTCGGGCGGGATGGCGGCTGAAGTCACAAGTCAAAGTCTCTTTGGCAATTGAAAGACTAGAGCAGAACGAAACACGCTGTGCTCCTGGGCGGTTGCACTGTGTGGAGGGCCGGTGTGGGTGCCAGCCTGGGTGCCAACACAGGAGAGGTGACTGGGTGTGCCTAGGGGAGGCATCAAGGTGACCTTGAGTCAGTAGCGACATAGCACAGCTCCAAGAAAGCCCTGATCGTCACTGGGGGGCAGGAAGGCTGAGGAGTGACATGGCATTACAGGTCACCCCTCTATGAGAAATGAGCGAAATGTGGTACAAATTGTCAGAATTGAACGAACCAACAGAATAAACACTCATCCCTCTGTGGAGAAGACTGAGACGGAATAAATTCACAGGGCTAGCCCAAGAATCTTCTCCTCCAGGGTCTCAGGCTAGCTCCCGTCGTGCTGTTTACGGCAGCTGAGGCCGGAGCAGAGTTGCGGGGCTTTGAAGATTGTTGGGTGCCGGAGCTCCTCTGGCCCACCCTGGCCACCTGTGTCTAGCGCAGGGGCCCTAAACCCTGGCTGTACAGCAGAGTCACTTGAGTAGTTAAAAAAAAAAATCTATGCCAGGCCCCAGCGTAGACTGATGAGTCCGACTGCTGGTGGGCACGCCGAGCTGGGCGGGTGGGACTTCGGAGCTCCGTGGGGGGTGATGCCACGCAGGGATGGTTGAGAGCTGGTCTGAGGTTGAGACGGGGGTGGGGGGGAATTCTGGCTGGGCCCTGGGTGCACGTGAGGACCATGGGGGAGACTAAAAACCCACTCCCAAGCCATTGAATTATCATCTCAGGGGCCCGGGAAGCTTCCAGAAAGACCTCCCGACTGGCACACACTTGGGTCCCCAGGGGAGGACTCTCAGCCATTCTGCTCCGGCTGCTGAGATAAGTGCCACAGACTGAGGGCTTCAGCAGCGTTTATCAATTATCTCACAGTGCTGGCGGCTAGACGCCCGAGATCGAGGTGTAGACAGAGCTGGTTTCTCCGGAGGCCCCTCTCCTTGGCTTGTGCATGGCTGTCCTCTCCCTGTGTCCTCACGTGGTCGACCCTCTGTGGGTGTCTGTGCCCTGATTCTCCTCTTCTCACAAGGACACTGGCCATGTTGCAGTGGGGCCCACACTAATGGCCTCATCTCAGTCACCTCTTTAAAGGCCCCATCTCCAAATACAGTCACATGCTGAGGTCATGGGAGTCAGGACTTTAGCACTTGAATTTTGCAGGGTACGGGGGGCTGAGCAGGAGGGGACCCTATTCAGCCCATAACAGAGCATCTTGCACTTGGGTCAGACATTCTCCATGGAGCCTGGAATCCATTTCTCTCTTCAGTATTTGTAGGCGAGCATGGATTTGCCCTGGGCTAAATGGTTGCAGGGAGTATTGGAACCACCAGAAGTCTGGCTAGAGGGCTCTTAACTGTTAATTAATAATCACCTTTCACTCTTTGCAAATGTTTCCTCAGAGTACGCAGAAGTGAGTGCTGAGGTCAGAGATGGATCCTGCTGGCGTGACCCTGAGGGCTGCTGTCCTCTGCCTCGTGGCCTGGGCCGGCCTGGCCGCCGGGGACCGGGTGTACATACACCCCTTCCACCTCCTCGTCTACAGCAAGAGCAGCTGTGAGCAGCTGGAGAAATCCAACGCAGAGACACTGAAAGAGCCGACCTTCGCTCCCGCTCCGATTCAGGCCAAGACGGCCCCGGTGGACGAGGAAGCCCTGCGCCAGCAGCTGGTGCTGGCCGCCGAGAGGCTGGGGGCCGAAGACAAGCTGAGGGCCACGACGGTCGGGATGCTGGCCAACTTCCTGGGCTTCCGCATGTACAAGATGCTGGGCGAGTCGGGGAGCGCTGCTGGCGGGGCCGTCCTGCTCTCCCCGACGGCTCTCTTCGGCACCCTGGCCTCTTTCTACCTGGGCGCCTTGGACCCCACAGCCCATAAGCTCCAGGCGCTCCTGGGCGTCCCTGGGGAGGACCGGGGCTGCACCTCCCGGCTGGACGGGCACAAGGTCCTCTCCGCCCTGCAGGCCATCCAGGGCCTGCTGGTCGCCCAGGGTGGGGCGGACGGCCAGGCCCGGCTGCTGCTGTCCACGGTGGTGGGCCTGTTCACCGACCCCGGCGTGCGCCTGAAGCAGCCGTTCGTGCAGGGGCTGGCTCTCTTTGCCCCCGTTGTGCTCCCACGCTCTCTGGACCTCTCCACGGACCCCGAGCTCGCCGCTGAGAAAATGGGCAGGTTCATGCAGGCTGTGACGGGGTGGAAGATGGGCAGCCCGACGGGAGTCACAGCAGACAGCACCCTGCAGTTCAACACCCACGTCCACTTTCGAGGTAAGGCGAACCCTTCGTCAGCTCTGGCCCCGTGCTGGTGTCAAGGTGGCAGTTCCCTGTCTCTGTGGACTAGTGTCCAGGTGCGGCTGAGCCAAGCAGCCCAGGCCTGGGGGTGGGCAGGGCATGGCTGTGAGGATGCGCCTGGAGACCCCTCCAGGAGGGGCGGTGCCTGTCCCCCCTCCCTGTCCCTGGGATGAACACCACCTCCCTGAGCTGCCGATGCTGTCACTACACCGCGTCCTTTTGCTTTCATCGTTAGATCCCCTCACATGCAGCGAAAGGTGTTAGTGAAGACATAGAGACTCACAGAGACAAAGTGCCTTGCTCGAGATGGCACAGCCACCGTGGGGGTCCCAGGATTCAAACCCACTGCCCCCTCGCCCCATGGCCCAGCTCTACACTTAGTAGGGACAGGTTGTGTCTCTTGAGAAGGTCAAGGACTAGTGTCACTGGCCCTTGTAGAGATAGCCAATTAGCTTGCTCAAATCCCTTTCACATGGGAGGGAGTCTTGCCGGAAAACCCTACTACGAAAATTGCTTATTCATTCAACAAATGCTCGTAGAGGATTTATTGTTTGCAAGGCTCTGAGCCAGGTGTCTTGGAGGGGCAGGAGGAAGGCTGTGCAGGCCCTGACGCCCCGCTGTTGAAGATTAACGGGGAGGTAGATCCCAGGGCAAACATGCCTGGGGCCTGAACGGGTTCTTGGGGCCGGTGGAGCCCAGAGTGCAGGGAAAGCGGGAAGCAGTCAGGAGGCGAGAGGGGCTGGGAAGACAAGAACCAGTGTGGGGTCCACCAGGAAGATGTGCAGCCCCTGGGGGACAGGGAGCCAGGCAGGCAGCTGAAAGGACTGTGGAGGCAGAGGGGGGTTAATAATAGCGCAAGGTGATTTTCTCACCACAATAATGCTCTCAAAGTATCAGTAAAACCACAAAGGGGAAGACCTGGCCCCCCATCTTTGGGGACAGGGGAAAGTGACGGACCAAGGACTGCTCAGGTCCTAGTGCTGACCCGTCAAGGGGCAGGGGCCGGCCCACGGGTCACCTGGCTGAGGGTGGCCGCACCCTGTGCAAGGCAGAGGGGGAGCAGGGGCTCAGCCTGCTGTCCCTAAGAGGAGCCCCGGGAGGAGAGCTCTCTGAGGGAGGAGTGCTCCCCAAACGGCAAGAGCAAGAGGGCCACGGGCGTCAGAAATGGGGTCTCACTTGGGGAGAATGTCTGGCCACCAGATCCAGACTGCAGAGCCTGGCAAGAAGGAGAAAGAGGAGGAAGAAGAAAAAGGCGAATCCCATCAGGACCGGGAAGGAAGCCCTGATCTGCACCCACCCCCACCTCGTTCTGTCCTGACCTCGTCCAGCTCCTGCCCTTCCCGCCTCGCTTTCCCCCAGACGGAGACGCACCCCTGCCGCCCACCGCGGTCGGGCGCTCTGGGTTCCGCCACCATGACCGCAGCTGACGGCAGGATGTGGACTTACCCTGGAGAGGTTCGCCCACCCTCCGGGTGAGGGCGGAGAGCGCGAATGTCGGATGAGCGAAGAGAAGAGGACAGCCACCCGCATCTCAGATTCCAGCGTCCTTTGGAAGGAAGCCTCCCTTGACTGTTTCAATTTGTTGGAGCAAAAGAGTTTAGTCCTTTTTTTTCCTCTAAACTGAAAAGCCACCTGCCAGGTAGGGTGGGCCAGTGCTGAGGTCCCCATAGGGTAGGTGAGAGGAGGGACGCTGCGGCTTGTCAGGAGCCGCTCTTGCCACCTGCCACGGTGCACTGAGGATGGAGGACCAGGGAGACACTGTGTTCTCGTGAGACCCAGACCCGGGGGTGGTGAGTGTGTCCAGGTCCTTCCCCCCAGGAACCGTGTCCTCCCAGCTGCCCCTGCTTTCATGTTGGTGACCTCTGAAAAGGGAGGTAAAAAGGGAGACTGGACTCTTTTCACCCACCTCTCCTGGGACTCCCAAGTGCCACGCGCCCAGGGGACAGCTCCGTGATGGACTCTACTCGACTTCACCCAATTCTGCTACAAACAACCGCAAAAGGGCCCTTCACAAGGAGTGAGAGGACTGCGGAGGTGGGATGTGCTGGTGTAAGGCCGTGGTAGAGGGCCGGCTGCTGTCGCGGAGAGGCGGGGAGTCACGGTGCTTGAACATGAGTTTGTGTTCTGCCCCCAGGTGGCCTGACCTGCCGGCCGCTCGGCTCTGCCACTGGGCCTCTGCCCAGCTCCCACCTAGTCCACAGCCCTGCGAGCAGGAGGGGAGACAGAGGGCTGCCCCTGCCCCCAGGCCCAGTGCAAACACACGGGTCACTACGAGGTCATGTGACTGTCCCCAGGGGCAGGGGCTGCTGAGAAATGGAGCCCTTGTCCCCAGAGCCTGCATGGCCGGCTCTGTGTGGGGACCAGAGGACAGCCAGCAGGCTCTGCCACAGCTGCGGTTGGCCCCAGATGAAAGAGTGAGTGTGCACCAGGACTCTGAGGAGCACTGTGGTGGTGGACGCGTGTCGTCCTACACGGCCCAATATGCACACACGCAACTCCAGGAGGCCTCACGTGGACTGTGGACTCCGGGTGACAAGGACGTGCCAGTGCAGGTTCCCCAACTGCAGCAAATGGGCCGCTCTGGTGCGGGATGATAGTGGGAGAGGCTGAGCCTGCACTTTCTGCTCAATTTTGCTGTGACCCTAAAACCACTCTAAAAATCACTTATTAAACAAAAAAAAAACAAGCGAGTATGGCAAACCACAGGCTTCAGACCGGGACAGATCTGGATTTGAGTTTACCAGGTCGGGTGCCAGGAAGGTGGCTCCCTGAAGGTGACAGATGCAAAACCTCGGGTTCAGTGCCTGGCGGGTCCCGTGTCTCCCGCAGTTGGTGGCTTGGGTTACCTTAGCGAACTCCGAGGGCTGGATTCTGCAGGAGGAAGACTGGAGCAGCACTCGGGGTTCTGGGGCAGGCGAGGCCCTGTGGCCAGGAGGATGCAGAGGGCCCGGGGCTGGCCAGGGGCGGAGGCCGAGGCGGGAGGGAGGGCGGGAGAGGGCCCTGCGGTGTCCGCCAGCCCCTGCCCCAGCCCGGCTGACTCTTCCCTTCCCGTCTCTGTCTGGGTTTCAGGGAAGATGAAGGGCTTCTCCCTGCTGCCCGAGCTCCAGGAGTTCTGGGTGGACAACAGCACCTCGGTGTCTGTCCCCATGCTCTCCGCCACGGGCAACTTCCAGCACTGGAGCGACGCCCAGAACAACTTCTCGGTGACGCGCGTGCCCTTCGGCGAGAGCGCCTGCCTGCTGCTGGTCCAGCCCCACTGCAGCTCCGACCTGGACAGGGTCGAGGCCCTCGCCTTCCAGCACGACTTCTCCGGCTGGATGAAGAACCTGTCCCCCCGGTAGGAGCCTCCGGGTCTCCCCGGGGAAGTAGGGGAGCTGCACGTCCATCTGCCCAGGGTGGGGAGGTGGGGTGGGGGGACACACGTGCTGGCACTAGCTGAGCCTGGGCACAGAGCGGCGAGGGGCGGCCAGGGGACTGTGCATCCACCACCATCTCTACAGCCGTGCACCGAGCTCTCGAATCGGCTGGGGTCTGTCTGGTGCAGGCGAGGTGAGGTGAGGGGAGGATGCTTTTTCTGCACTTATATTTACCTACCAGTTCCAAAGTGAGAGAGAGCGTTTCAGTCCCCTCTCTGAGAGGGGCCTTTTGGACGCCACGTCCATGCACACGCACATGGGCGGCACACGGGAGCGTCCCTTGATCCAGAGCCCGGTTGTTGGAGGCTGGGGGAGGGGGAGGAGGTGTCCTCAGCTCCTCTTGACAAAAACAAGCAATTTCCTTCAGTGGAGCTCTAGATTTGACCAACATACGAGGTCTGGATGAGTTAGGCCCAGAAATCTGCTCCCGAAGACAGGCACTAAGGGACATGAGTGACTTCCTGATGTCGACTCCAGTTTTTTTTTTTTTTAAGTGTTTTTTGTTTTATTATGGTAAAATGACATAATATAAAATTTGCCATCTTAACCATTCGGTGGCACTAAGTACGTTCACATTGCTGTGCAGCTGTCACCACCATCCATCTCCAGAACTTTCCTGTTTTCCCAAGTTGAAACTCTTGTACCCATTAAATACTAAATCCCCATCCCCACTCCCCACTAGCCCCCGGCAACCCCTAACGTCTTCGAGGTTCATCCGGGGCGTCACACGTGTATGAGTTTCTTCCTTTCTACGGCGGACTCACATTCTGCCGTGTGGGCCGGCCACGTTTCGTCACCCGCTCACCCACCGAGGGACATGCGGTGCTTCCGCATCTTGCCTGCTGTGCACACCACGGGCACGCGCCGACTCTTGCAAGGCATTGCTCTGCCACTGACATGTCCCCGGGCTCTGGGGGATGCCAGAAGGAAGAGGCCGCCTAGACAATCGCAGGGACATAGCGGCATGCACAGCGCAGAGGCCGACGCTGTGCGCTGCTCCACTGCCCTTTCCCTGGCATGTCACCAGCGAGGACACTGCCGAGAGGGGCACGATGCGTTATTTTAGAGAATGGCACTTTTGAAGTTATTCAAGTAACACACCTTCCATAGAGTCAATCTAGAAACAGAATGGACCTAACAACAGGCAACTGCTCACAGTTAGTCACCCTAGATCATCCCTGGTAAACGTTCTATGCCCTCCTTGAGGTATTTCACATGGCATGAGGGCTTTTTAAATCGTATTTTTGCTAAAGCTTTTTCCAGCGGTGAGGATGACCTAGCCAGGTGAGAAGGGCAAATGCCCCCTTCTTCGGGGACAGGAGCAAGGAGCATACGCCCGCCCGGCTCCCTGGTGGCTCATGGCTTCCCCCGCTGTGTGGCTTGAGGAGTCACGGTGGAAGCCTCTCTAGAACCTTCCTAACTAATGGTGCGTCACCTCCCCAGGGCCATGCGCGTGACCGTGCCCCAGCTGGTGCTGCGAGGCTCCTACGACCTGCAGGACCTGCTCGCCCAGGCCAAGCTGCCCACCCTGCTGGGTGCCAAGGCGAACCTGGGCAGAATCAGCGCTGCCGACATCAGGGTGGGAAAGGTACCGTGCGGGCCGTGTCCACGTCTGACCTGGGCTCTGTGTGTTCACAGGGTGGGAGCGGCCCGTGGGAAGGACACAGAGGAAGCTTCTCGGGGTGCTCGCGGTGTAGGAGGGAGAGAACAGGGCCAAGGGTGGGGGAGAAGTGGCCAGAGCCTTCAGGGGCTTCCCAGGGACAAGGGCAGAGCAGCAGACCCCTCCCACCCCGGCTCCTGCCGTGTGCTCTGCGGCCCTGCTCGGCCTGGCCAGCCCCCGCCTTGGCGTCCTCCCTAGGTGCTGTAGCAGGGCTGGGACCGGGATGAGGGGAGTGAGACCCCCAGGCCCGAGCCCCTTCTTCGGGGAAATGCTCAGCAGTAGACAGGCTTTTCCTTTGCCACGTGGAGCGATGCACATCTGCAACTACCGTGGACAGGTGCAGGGGAGAAGACAGGGCTCACTGCAGGTGTCATGAGCCCTCTGTGCTAAGTAAACTAAGCACTGGGGGGCCACAGCAGATGAAGCCAGGAATCCCACCCCGGACAGCAAGGCGGAGGGTGGAGACAAGGGGGCGTGAGGGGCATGTTAGGGAGAAGCCGTCAGTGACTTGGCCCAGGATGGCCAAGTAAGGGTCGTCTACACAAGCCCACCTTTGTCTACACTGTGGGGCATGCGTGTAGTATGCATCTTCCTGGCAGGCTGGAGAAACATCCCCCTCTAGGACAGCCAGCGCAGCCCTCCTGCGCCCGGCGTGCCCTGCAGGGGTGCCATCGCAGTGTTGCTGCCTTGCAGGTGGAGAACAGTGTTCTTTTTGAACTCCAAGCGGACGACGGAGAGCAGCCCACAGAGCCTGCCCAGCAGCCCGGCGGGCCCGAGGCCTCGGAGGTGACCCTGAGCAGCCCATTCCTGTTTGCCGTGTACGAGCGCGACTCCGCCGCCCTGCACTTCCTGGGCCGTGTGACCAACCCACTGAGCGTGGCGTGAGGCCAGCCCCGGGAGGGAGGGCCCCGCAAGGCCTCTGTCCTTGGCCGCTGGGACGAAGGCCAGCAGTGGACAGCAACCCTGGGCACAATCAGCGATCTGTCCAGTCTCCCACCTTTTCTTCTAGCGAGTCCAGGCCGAGCTGGAAAGTAGCCCCTTGGTGGGGTGACGGTGGTGCCGTGTTGAGCGAGAGGAGAAACCTGGCGGCACAAACAGCCTCCTGGGTTGTTGGGTTCATTTTGGAGGATGGGGGTGGGGATCCGGGAACTGGTGTTTCGCACAGGACTGTTGTTCCGGAAGGAATTTGGACAAACCAATGTGTTTGTGAAACCAAAAAGTGTTCCCTTTTTAGCTGAGAAGAGAGATTGGGTTTTAATATTAAAACGTACATTTTTTTTTCATTTCCTTGGTTTATATTTAGCTCGATGAATATGAGACTATGACCTTCGCGCAGTGTCCACAATACTTTAGTTTTTTTTTTTTTCATAGATAGTTGTGATTTTTCAACAACAAATTACGAAAGACGCAAACGTCTGAATTTATGTTAGAACGTGAAACCGTGGCTGGTTATCCCTCCTTTGTGTTAGTAATAAATGTTTTGCAACAATAAGCCGGAAAATCCTATCTTTCATTCAGCAGCAGAACGGACACGTGCAACTGAGCCGACAGGCCGTGCACGCGGGCGGGCCTGCCAGGGCCGTGGGTGGGGTCTCTGTGGCAGGCCAGGGCCGGCACTGAGCTGGCCTCTGGGCAAGTTCTAGGTCATGGGTTTCTCTGGACACGTCCACCCGGTCTGTGTGATGGGCAGGGGCGGGGCCCGGGGAGGCTGTACCCCACGTGGCACTGGAACAGGAAGTGGGCAGAAGGGCACTTCTTCCACCCCAGTGAGGCAGGGTCAGATGGCCGCTGGTCCTGTGCCTGTGGAGAGGAAGACAGAGAGACCAGTCTTCACAGATAAATACTTGCAGATTCCTTTCCATGCGTTGAGTGTCTCTGCCTGTTTCCCTTCCACGGGATTGGCCCCAAAGCTTTGAGACCCTGGGCAAGGCTGAGGAGGAGGAGGGCTCCCAGCCGGCCTGTTGTGGTCACTTGGTAACAATGGCACTGCTGCCTTATGTCTGTGAAGCACCTGATCTTCTTCCCTTCCGTGAACATCGAAATAAGTAAGTGGCGGGCGGTATGTCAGTTACTGCCCAGAGCCCAGGGCGCTGCTACGACAGCCTTTCAGGTCTCAGCCTGTCCCGCACGCCCAAGCTTCTCGCTCTGGCCTTGAACGCATCTCCCTGCCTCCACATCACCAAGACAGCGTGTCCTCTAGTTCATGCTCGAGGGATTCTGTTTGTCACATCAGAGCCCATAGTTCCGTCATCATAGCGTATGGCACCAGTTTTATTTGGGGTCACCTTCACTCCCACTCCCAGTGCTCGCTGGTTTGTTCTCCCCTCAAAGGGCCGCTGGGGTGGATGCGGGCTCACACGGACTCCCCGAAGCGGCTACTGGATGCCCAGTCTCTGGGAGAACCGGGAGTACAGGGACCAGAAGTCCTTCAAAGTCTTGCTATTCAAAGTGCAGCCCTCGGGCCAGCAGCAGCAGTGGTGGTGGCCGTGGCAGCAGCCCTGGGAGCTTCTCGGAATGCGGAATCTCAGGTCCCACCTGGACCTGCAGTCACGGCCGGTCCAGATCCCGGCTGCGCGTGACACTGGGAGGGACCACAGCTGGGGGATGCTCCCAACAGCCTCCGGGAAATTCATTAGGTCGCAAATGTCTCAATGAATTTGGAAAGCCGAAAGATGTTTGTTACTCATGTGGCAGCAAAACTAGACCTGAACAGCCAGGAGGCTGTCGAAGATCTCTACATGATAGAAGTTGACAGTGTGACTATTCCACAACCCCCCGGGAACGGTCCAGGATATATAGGATATAAACCACTTTACCTTTCTAAAATCTGAAAGATTCCAACTACTGACACATGCACTGAAGGTTTTGGACAGTGGATTGTGCATTTGAATATCATGCCATGTGATGTTTTTCTAGTAGAATTTATTTTTTAGAGCAGTTTTAGGCTCATGGCAAAACTGAGAGGAAGGTACAGAGACTCCCCATAAATCCCCTACTCCTCAAGATTTCCCCTACTACCAACTTCCCAAACCAGAGCGAGTTTCTTACAACCCATAAATCTGCATCGACACATCATTATCACCCAACTCCACAGTTTACGTTAGGATTCACTTTTGGTGTTGCGCATTCTACAGGCTTAGACAGACGTGTACCGACATGTGTCCACCACCACAGTATCACGCAGAGTCGTGTCACTGCCTAAAAACCCTCTGCGCTCTGCCTGCTCATCCCTCCTCCCTCCTGACTCCTGGCGACCTCTGATCTTGCCACCCTGATCTTGCCACCGCCTTCTCCATGGTTTTGCTTTTCCATGTCATGCAGTTGGAATCCTGGACACAGTTGTGTAGTGTAGCCTTTTCAGATTGGCTTCTTTCACTGAGTAATCTGCATTTACAGTCCCCCAGGGCTTTCGTGGATTGATAGCTCCTTTCTTTTTATTGCCAAATGGTATTCCATTGTCTAGATGTATCACGGTTTATTTACCGATGCACCTACGGAAGCAAATCTCGGTTGCTTCCAAGTTCTGGCCGCTGTGAGGACAGCTGCCATCAACAGCCGCGTGCAGGTTTTCGTGCTCACGTGCTCTCCCCATGCAATTTTTAAAGTTGCAGGATGATCAGAGATGTCCTGGGTGACTCTGATGGACTCACAGACAATGTGTGTGTCGACACGTCAGCGACTCCATCATCTTGAGACAGGAGGGAGTCCACATCCCTGCATTCAAGTTGCCTCATTCTTCTAGCAAGTTACCTGGAAAGATTGAATGCTCTGAGGCTTGGTTGTAAGTTTTGTTGGGTGGGCTCAGAGCGGCCTTTGCATCTAAGTGGGTAGGGGGTCACCACCAAGGCCATATCCTCCTGGGTCTTTCTGTGCTGGCTGCAGCAAACACAACCTCTCCGGGCCCTTTGAGCTCCAGGGATTGTTCGACCTGCTCCTTTCTGGGGACTCTTTCTCTGGCTCTGACAGGCTCTTCATGCAGGCAGACTCATCAGTGTGACATACACAAACGGACGCTCCACCCAGGACGCTGGGCCACTGGCAGGACCAGCCTGCCCGTTCCCTGCTCCCTGGGCCCCGCTCAGCCCATGTCCGGCGCCTGAGCCGTGCTGACGCCTACGTTGTGCCTCATTTTCTCAATTGTTTAAGATCCATCTAGTTGGATTATGCCAGAAATTTAACCAGCCAAAATGCTACCTGGAAGATTAATAACACATTTTGGCTCTAGATTAGTGAGAGCTAAGAAAAACAAAGAATGCTGATTGTTCTGAAATTCAGTCTCAAGTGAAAACTATTAATAACTGAGGGTTGAGTGGAACAAGGAGGGAGGGACTTTCGGAGTCAAATAAAGGTAACGCTCAGTAGTCAACAGGTATTCACCGCCACCCAACACAAAGCTTAGTGGCAAAATGAGAGAAGCAGGTTCACACCAGGAATGCTTGCAAATCTCAAAGACAGACAGTGTTTCCTTCAGAGCTGGTGGGGTCAGGTCTCACGAGGAGAGAGTGCTGCCAATGGGCAAAGGACTGCCTTTTCACAAATCGCTGGAACCATCTGGAATGCTTGGTTGCTGATAGGGAGAGATCTAGCAGATGTGTTCAGATGCCACGAATAGAGAAAGTAACATTGCCTTCAAACAGACTCCTAACAGAGCTTGCTTAAGAACCTAACACTGGCTCAGTGTCTGAAGTTTAGCACTACTCTTGCGTTCTGAAACACGAACACAGCATGAATGTCGGTGTGTTATCAATGACACGGTGACATTGGCGCCCATCCGAGCTGATGCTGCTGTTAGAGGGACATCCAGACCCCGCTGCCACAGTGTTGTGGGTATTTCAAAAGGGCACAGCAAGGGAAGTCAGCGCACGTCACCTGCGTTACTGCAACTCTGTAGGGTCATCAAGCCACGCGGCAGCCCCGTCCGTGGGCAGGTTTCGTGACTGTACGGTTCTCCCATGGGGTATGCCACGTAGCAGTTCCAGGGAGCTGCAAGGAATTGTGGGTAAAGGTCTGGCTAGGAGATTAGGGAGGGTATCTAAAGAAGCTCCCCCTCAAAAAAATATATATATGTATGTATATCATTGGATTGTTCGGATCAGAAAAAAAAAAAGCAGCTCCAAATCCATTTTGTTCTAGTCTAGACTATAGTTTCCAGCCCTGTACGACTGAGCTCCACACGCTGGAGTGAGTGGGAGGATTGTGTGACCCAAACCGGGGCCACAGCCACCCTGTGTGTCCCCCACACTCTTCCCCCTTTCTGGTTGGCTGCAGTGGAGGTGGAGGGGGCTGGATGGTGGCCTCCAAAAAGATAAGTCCACTTCTTACCCTCTGAACCTATGCCTGTGACTGCATTTGGGAAGAGGATCTTTGCAGATGTAACTGAGCCAGGGGTCTCAACATGAGATCATCCTGGATTAACCAGAGGGGCAGGTGTCCTGAATCCAGTGAGTTGCGTCCCCGTAAGAGTCAGAAGGGGAGAAGACACAGAGAAGGCCATGTGAAGACGGAGGCCTATGGCCTACGCTGCCATAGGCCAAGGCCAAGGTCACCTCTAGCCACAAGGAGCTGGACGGGGGAAGGATTCTCCCCCAGAGCCTTCCGAGGCCGTGCTTGCAGCCCACCAACATCCTGATTCTGGACTTCTGCCTCCAGAACTGTGAGACCCAGTTCTGTTGTGCTGAGCCGCTGCATCTGTGGCAATTCGCTACGCCAGCCCTGGGAAATGAATACAGCAGGCTCCCCCAGGGAGAGCTTGGAAGCCACAGGACAGAGGTGGCAGACTTCCCATCAATGTGGGTCCCTGGGCAACCTCTTCACAGCTTCCCTAGTGTGCAACATGACAATAGCAAGAAGTAAACTTCTTGTGTTTGAGCTCCCCTGTTGAGTCTATAAAATTGAAAATAATTAGTTTTACAGTAAAACGTATTATTTCACCTTTAAACTTTACTCAATAATGATGATTCTCCAAAGCAGAGGGATGAAACATATATCAATGACAGGAGAGATGTTCTGGGGCACAGCAGAGAAGCATTCTAAAACTTGGCGCTTTTTACCCAGTCTCGTTTCCTAAGCCTTGAAATAGGTACTATGACATCAAGGCTGTCATTGTCGTGAGACAAGCTAGGAAGGGTGGTGCTATTAAGTCCAGGGCCTGTCAGGGCTTGATGGGGGTCAAAGAATTCAGTAATTTGGGTTCCAATCCTGGACTGCTAACTTCTCTGTTCTAGCACTGCTACTAGGGAGGGAGAATTACCTAATGGTTAAACTGGGCTCTGGAACTATCTGGCCTGGGTTTAAATCCCATTCATTAGTTATCTCAATGACCTAATAATGTGTCTGTTTCCTCATCTGCAAAATGGGAATAATAAAGCTGGAACTGGAGGGGGCTAATAAATATGCTTCTCCTCAGTGTTTTGAAACAAATGAGAAAGGCAGAGTCACGGAGGTGGGGACAAGCACTCAGGGGTCTATGGTTGAAGACTAGGTGGGCAGAAG